TGGTAGTAACTGTGTGAGTACAAAGGAATCAGATATAAAATGGTATGAAGGTAGAACCAACAAGATTTGGCAACTGAATGGCAGTGTGGGCTGAGGGAGAGTAAATAGTGAGTTATTTTGGAGGTTGGTGGGTGGATTTGTGGGTTGTTGTGTGTGTTTTGTTTTCTTTTTTTACATTCTCTAGTGAACTGAAACATTGTAGGAGAGTGGCATTAAAACTTAATTATTTGTCTTAATATTTTGAGGGAGTCTCTGCAAGTGTTGTACAAAGCTCTTATAGAAAAACAATTCACAAATAACAGCATTTTTTAGCTTTTTTTTTTTTTGGTGAGTCAATCAGGGTTAAGTGACTTGCCCAGGGTCACACAGCTAGTACGTGTTAAGTGTCTGAGGCTGGATTTGAACTCAGGTCCTCCTGACTCCAAGGCTGGAGCTCTACCCACTGTGCCACCTAGCTGCCCCAATATTTTTTTTTAGGTTAGAAGGGATCTAATTCAACCTATTTCCACCCGTACCAAGGAATCCTATTAACTACACATCCACTAAGCAGTCATCCAACCTATGGTAAAAGACCTCCAATGAGTGGGGAACTTGCTACCCTCCAGGCATTCCACTTTTATGTAACTCTGATTGCTTGGAATTTTTTTCCTGTTTCATGTCTAAATTTACCTCTTTCAAATCATCCCCCCCCCCCCCCCGTGCCCCCCCCCCCCCCGTGCTCCTCCTGGTTGTGCTCTCTGGGGCCAAAAAGTACTTAAAGAAAGATGTCAGGTTCTGAGTCATCTCTTTTCCAGGATAAACATATCCACTTTCTTCACATGAGCCTCAGATGGCATAAACTCCAGTCCCTTCATCATCCTGGTTGCTGTCTGAATGATATCCAGCTTATTTTTGTCCCTAAACTCTAGTGATCAGAACTCAGCACAGTACTCCAGATGTGGGTTGACCATGGCAGACTGTAGAGGGACTGTCATCTCTTTATTCCAGGAAGCTTGTTGTCATTGTAGCCCCATACCTCATTAGTTTTTTTTTTGGTTATCTTACCACATGGGTAGCTCATATTGAACTTGTCCACCAAAACCACCAGATCTTTTTGAGATAAACTGCTGTTTAAAAATGTCTTCCCCATCATGTACTTGGGAATTCAGTTTTTGGAACACAAGTACAAGAGCCACTCAAGATCTTTTTGGTTCCTGGTTGCCATCCAATTTATTAACTATTCCTCTCAGCTTTGTTTGCTAATTTGATAAGCAAATTCTGGTCTGTCTACTCATTGAATTTATTTAGGTACTAGGAAGCAAGGTGGGAAAAGGTTTTTTTTTCCTTTTTTGTAGTTTTTGTGTTTAATTTTTATTACCTAAACCCAGAAACTTACCCACAGTTTTAAAGAGTTTTATTGTATTATTTTAAATTTGTTTCATCTTGGCATTTAAAGGCTTCTCTGGCAACTGTAATGTTTTAAAGACAAAATCTGGAGAAATTAATTCTGTCACATTATGTTTTATGTTCTGCTTCTTCATTAGTCTCTAACACTTACCTTATCCAGTCTGTCACTCTTTTTCATTTTATTGGATTGTGTAATCCATTCACAATTTCTTTTAGAAGTTTTTTTTAATTCATTTATTTTTAGTTTTGAGCATTCACTTTTGTAAGATTTTGAGTTCTAAATTTTTCCCTTTCCCCCCTCTCTAAGACAGCATGCAATCGGATATAGGCTATTCATGTACACTCATATTAAACAAATTTCCACGTTAGTCATGTTGTAAAGAAGAATTAGAACCAAAGGGCAAAACCATGAGAAAGAAAAATCAATTAAAAAAAATAGTATGCTTCCATCTGCATTCAAACTCCATAGGTCTTTCTCTAGATGTGGATAGTATTTTCCATCATGAGTCTTTTGGAATTGTCTTAGATCATTGCATTGCTAAGAAGAGCTAAGTCTATCAAAGTTGGGGTCATCACACAGTGTTGCTATTCCTGTGTACAATATTATCCTCGTTCTGCTCATTTCACTCAGCTTCAGTTCTTGTAAGCCTTTCCAGGTCTCTCTGAAATCCACCTACTCATCATTTCTTATGGAACAATAGTATTCCATTACATTCATATACCATAGCATGTTCAGCCATTCCCCACTTATTGGACATCCCCTCAATTTCCAATTCTTTACTATCACAAAAAGAGCTGCTATAAATATTTTTATACATTTAGGTCCTTTCTCCTTTTTTATGGTCTCTTTGGGAGACACAGACCTAGCAGTGGTATTGCTGGGTCAAAGGGTATGCATGGTTTTATAGCCCTTTGTTCCAGATTGTTCTCCAGAATGGTTGGATCAGTTCACAACTCTGCCAACAATGCTCCATTCATATTTAAAGTTATGAGAGTTAGGTTCATATTTTTCTCTATTTTTAATATTGGGTTTTTCAGGTTATTTTTTCCCCTCTTCTAATGTAAACACTACTCTATACCTTTAGTTACTTTACCTTAATCTTTTTTAAAGATGTCCCTTTTCCCACTGGCTCTCTTCCCCTCATTCCTGTTCCCTTCTTCTCATTTGTTACCCTTTTTTGCTTTAGGATTTTACATATTACTTCAATTTTCTTTCCTCCTAGTTATATAATTCTTCCCCTCATTTTTTCTCTCAGTCAGATAGATTCCTCCTCCTTCTCCCCTTCAAGTCCTGATCATTAGTTTTTTGGTGTGTGTGTGTGTGTGTGTGTGTGTGTGTCTGTGTGTGTCTGTGTGTGTGTGTGTGTGTCTGTGTGTGTGTGTGTGTTCCTTTCCAAAAAGGATTTCTCCCACTCTGTTCATTATAGATATTCATTATGTTCATTATATCTCTGTCTACTCTAGACCCTCATTCTCTGATTCATGACCCCTATAATTATGTAGTCTCTCTGTTCTCTGTATTCCTCATGCAGTCAGAACTTCCAAGGTAACCATCTCCGCCAAACTTGTGCCTTCTCAGCTGTCTCCTTTTGTATGTTTAGAAAGAAATGTCTTACTGATCTCTTTGCTGTCGTTTTTGTTGTCTTTAACCACATTTCTGTTATTTGGGGTGTTTGAGAAGCAAATAATCTCTTCAGTTCTGGTTTTCTTTCCAAGAATGTTTCAAAATCCTCTTTGTTACTGAACTTTCATCTTTTCATTTATAATTAAGTTCACATTTGCAAAATAGGTCACTCTGGGCTGTATCCTGAGCTCCATTGCTTTTCTGAACACACTCCGTTCTCTCCTACATTTTCTGGTGAGTGCAGACTAGTCTTGTATTCATTCATTTTGCTGTCTTGGGTTTTTTTTTTCTGGAGGTAATCTTTGAATTCTTTCCATTGTTAATTAATTTTCCATGTTTAGAAGTTCTGGGCAGTTCTTTTCTATTATTTTGTGCATTATGATGTGTGTATGTTTTTGTTTTTGTTTTGTCCTATTATGTTCTTTTGGAAGACCTATGATCCTTAGGTTGTCTCTACATATCCTATCTTTAAGAGCAGTGTGTTTTACTTACATAGTGAACACATTCTCTTTTAATGTTATTCTTTTTTGATTCTCTTCTTCTAGATAATCCTTCACTTCTGTATATTTGCATTCTGAATCTATTGTTCTCTCTTGTTTCTCTGATGAGAGATGCCATCAGATTCCAGTTTTTCTATTCTGCCTGTTATTTTTGCAGTGTAGGCCATAAATTCTGCTTTCAGAATTCCCATTTCTCTTTTGAAAAAAATAAAAGAATGTTACTGAGTGGTCTTAGCAACAGAGTACCGTGGTTCCATGCTATCACATTCCATAGGATCCTCCATCTTATCAAGTGTTTCCCTTTGTTTTGTAGTATTTATTCATAGATGTCTGGATTTGTTTACTAGACCTGTAGGGCACATTTCCTGTTTTTAATAATTTTCCTGCCTATGTACTTATGTTTAAGGTCTTTGAGTTTTCTTCTTCCTGAGATATATGCTAATTTTAGTCTTTTTCCTCCTCATTTTCCCCTATCGCTCACTTTCAGACTCTTTTTCCTTCGGGGGTTGCATCTCAAAGCATCTCATCCTCTTTCTATACTGGGCAGTTCCCAGTTTGCCTGTCTTGGTCTCTGCCGCAAGTGACTTTTGGATAGAGAATTGGCCCAGTCTAGGTGCTGAGCACTTTTCCTTAGACTTAATAGAATGTTCCACAATCCCTATGCACATGGTGTATGGTCTAGATGGCCTGTTTCACTTTCTGTGTTTCTCAGCTGTCTGACCTGCACTGGCAGTTCAAAGCTCTGTAGCACGGTGCTACAGGTTTTTCTGCTGCAGTGCTGGCTTGCTGTCAAGGCCCCCAGCAGATTTCTGCTCCTGGAGGGCAGCCACTGCACTGTCTATCTATCTTAGCCCAACTTCCATAGCTGGCAGCTAGGGTCTCCACAGCACTGAGGTGGGGCAAGGGGGCGGGAGCATAGAAGAGCGTGGGCTTAGGTTTTACTGGGTCTTTGCTGTTATGCAGCCTCATTGCTGGTAGTCTGGGAAAGGTATGCTAAGTGAGCTCAGGGTAGGCATCATTTCATGAGTTTGGTTTTTTTCCTTCTTTTGGATTCTGGGTGTCCTAGACCATGGCAACAGCTGAAATAGTTTTATCTTTGGAGCATAATTTCAGTTTTGAAGAGGTTTGAGTGGTTGTGGGGATCAGTGAAAATGTCTATTCCTTCATCTTGTTGCCCCTAATAGTTTCCAAAACAAAGTAGTTCAATGGAGTGAAGGTGAAAAGTGTTATTATAATTTACCTTAACTATATTCTAATATTTTTTCATCTCATTATTTCTTCTAAGTGGTTTAGTTGCAATGCTTAGGAACTAGGGCAAAAATGAGGAAAGTGTTCATTTACTGCTATAGTAACAACTAAGATCTCTTTTACTTATAATGCCCTCTTATGGTTGGTACTATAAGAATACACATAGACTAATTAATTTGAAGTACAGAAGACTATCTTTATTTCAGATGTTTTAAAAACCAATTTGTTGTTTTTATTTGCAGGCCCAGGGTTTTCGAGATGTAGTTCCTTCTCCATTATCACCTCCAGTGGAACCTTCAGCGAACCCCCGAAAGCGGTCACGAGAAGCAAGGGAAGAAGAATAATATTTTAAAGATTTTGCATCTTGTGTAGCACAAAAATGTTGTAAAGACCATTAAGTGCTGATTACAGTTTACACAGCAAACATTGTAAACAATCATAGAATGTCTCCAATATCAACAATTACCACAGTATTAAATTAACAATTTAAGACAATCACATCAATTATAAAATGACATTACCAAATACTCATAAATCATTTATTAAAACATTTGTATAGAATACACTCAAGCAACAAAAATGGTTGTAAATATTAAAATACATAAAATATATACATAGTAAGTTAATATCATTAACTTGGAGCTTTTATAAATTAATTCATACTCTACCCATTTAATTTTTGATATCCATATTGGTTATTAAACTCTCATCCCAGTAATACATTGTACATAAATATCTCTACCTAACTGCGTAACAAACCTTCTAATTATGTATGATTTGATAATGCTTGAACCTAATTTTAACCTTGACAGCACAGGATCATTACCAGGATTCTTACCTTCTAAAAGTACCCAAAATCAATGTGTCATAATGCATATTAAAATCTTTTTGACCCTCATATTTAGATTTCTTTCCTGCTCTGGCAGTCTTAGGCATATTATATTATTTTGGTTGAATGGAATAGTTGTGGCAATGCATTGTAGTTATTGTAGGCTAGTCCTAAGTTTAAAAGTATGGTTGTAGTGCCTCTTCTAAACCTGCAGCTGTGCTTAATACAGATTTAGGTGAGGTCAGGCACTCTCAGATCATGTCTACAGGTTGTGGCAGTACCTAGATGATAATGGCAGTGGGAAGTTTTTATTCAGTCCTCTTTTCCTTCAACATTTCTTTTCCATGTTAACTAAATCCTTAGGCGCTAGTTAAAGGAACACAAACTAACCTTGTGTAGTGCATAGATCACCAGTCAGCAAAGGGACCTCCCTCAAAAACAAAATATATAGACAGGTAGAAGTCATTAAAGTTTATCAGTTTAGGCTGGTGGATCACTAATTTCATTAAATGTTTCACTATGGTGCCAGGAGGTAACCACTAAAAGCCATCATGACACTGTTATTGCTTAATTTCCATTCAGTTAGCTTTTGTTAAATTGTAGATAGCCACGTGTAATAATATTGCTATTTGGATTGCAAAGTCGCAATTGAGGTAATGAACCTCACTAACTCATGTTTCGCTATTTTTCACTCTTATTCCCAGACAAAAATCCTCCTTCTCTACCTTCCACTTCCATCTCCTTTCTTTTCTCTCCCCCTCCCCCTTCAAATTGAGAAAGCAAGAAAAACAAAACTCTTTTACAGGCATGTATAATCAAGCAAAACAAAATTTCTCATGGTCTTTTTATTTTTAAAAAATTCTTGATCTGCATTCTGAGTCTGTCACCTCTCTACCAGGAGCTGGGCAATAGGTTTCATCATTAGTCCTCTAGAACTATAGTTGATAATCCTGTTGATCAGAATTCCCAAGTTTTTTTTTAACTTATATGTATATATTAGCATTATATTATGATTATTATGGAGCAACTAGAAGGCTCAGTGGATAGAGTGCTGGACCTGGAGTTAGACCTGAGTTCTAATCTGGCCTCAGACACTTACTAGTCATATGACCCTGGGCAAGTCCCTTAACCTCTGTTTCCCTTAATCCACTGGAGAAGAAAACAGCAAACCACTCCAAGAAAAAGCCTTGGACAGTATTGGCATGCTATAGTCCATGGGGTCATGAAGAGTTGGACATGACTGAGCAACAATACATTATTATATTTTGTATTTAATATAAAATTATTTATCTAAAATATAAATAAAATATATTTATATTTTAGATAAATATATATAATATTTAGATTTATGAATATAAAATATAATGTATAATATAAAATATCTAAAATAAAAGAATACATTAATGCCTAATAATATATAATATTTTTAAATATATGGCTATTTAAATACTTGTGTCTTAGATTCTCATTCTTTGCCACCTTAAAAAAAACCTTATACATATTTTTGTACATCCTTAGAATTGGTATTGCTTAGTACTCTCTCCCTCAGTCTACCCTCCTAATTCCCCCTCCCCTCTTCTCACCTTTCCCTTCTATTTCAATGTTGAGTGCAATGTGTTTCTGTACCCAACTGTGTATTCCTTCTTTTGACCAGTTTAGATGAGATTTATGTTAGTTACTTCCCCTACTCCCTCCTCCTTGCTTATAATTATATCTGCTTGTGCTACATCATCGTTTTTCCTAACCTTTCTCTCCCTTCTCCACCCCCACCACACATCACAGTATACTGCTCTTTCTATCTCTTTCCATTCTTAAGATCAAGACATAACAGAACCACTGCCAGGCCTTTTCTAATTCTGATTAAAATTTCTAAATTCTAATCCTTCTAAAAAGGACTCGCTATGATTTTTTTATTTTTCTAGATTTGGTATGGTACATTTTCTAGATGTTAGGAAGAGTTTATAGGGAAGAGCTTCCTGTCACTCCCCTACTTTTCCACTAAGGTAGGGAGTGACAGGAAGCAATATGTGACACTAAGGTAGGGGAGTGACAGGAAGCTCTTCCCTATAAACTCTTCCTAACATCTAGAAAATGTACCATACCAAATCTAGAAAAATAAAAAAATCATAGCGAGTCCTTTTTAGAAGGATTAGAATCCTGCCACAAAGGGGCAGGATGATATAATGAAGAGTCAATAGTTTTGTCTCTTGAACTGTATGACTCATATCAGAAACCACTGTCAATAAGTTCCCTGTCTTTAGGGCAAAATCAATGACTTTATATTGACTCTGGGGGAGATTCAATGATTTCTTACCTGCCTTCATAATTGCTTTGTCCAGAATACTCAGTGCAGAGAGACCGTAATATTCTTTGAAATATTTTAACAGGGAGTTTGAATTACCACAGTATAGACTTGAAGCTCAATTGAAAGACAACATGGATTATATTGACATTCCAGAACTAGAAGAAAGCTTTAATAAGTTTGACAAGTAAAAGCAATTTAAAATGCCAGTAAGTATATGGCAGGCATTTACTAAGATCCCAAATTAGTAGCTTCAACTTCTGATTCTCAGCAGGAAAAACAACTAGGAGTTTCCACTTACACAGGGACTACAAGGTGCTCATTATTGTGCCAGCTATAGGAAGGTCTAGCAAGAACCTTTAATTTGCAAGCTAAAAAAAAAAGTAGTCCAATTGGCATAAATATCTTTGTTAATTTTAAGCTTGAGTTGAAATCAGAAATGATATAATGTCTCAGAACTGGCCCTAAAGCCTGTAAGACCTATATAGAAATCCCACCTCTGACAAATAATGGCTTTGTGACCCCGGACAAGTTACCAAATCTCAGTCCTCTAGGCAAATCAAAGATCAATGCAGGATCCACCTGCATTGATAGAGGGGGTTTCTTTAACTGGGAGTTCCCTGTACTAATAAAATCACTATTGCAGTCCCTATCCAGTAAAAGGCTACGTGGATTTTATAAATTTTTACGGATAGAAATGAATTTGTCTATTTGAACAATTTCTTTCAGTACAAATAATCTAAATCTTGCAAAGTCCTATATGTACTTCCTTTCCTGTGAGATAAGATGGTACTCTTAAAGTAGCTTATTAACTATTGATTTGATCATAAATTCATTCGGATATACTAATATTGTTTTTTCTGGCAATAATGAGTAAGTACTACCACCGTTCAAAACAGTATAAAGGCCATCTGGTGGCTTTTTCTCAGTCCTCATTCTTCTTGACCTCTCTACAGTCTTTGGCACACTTGGTCACTCTCTTGATACCTTCTTCTCTCTAGGTTTTCATGACACATACCCTCTTCTGTCTAGGTTTTCATAATACTGCTTTTTTCTGGTTTTTCTTCTACCTAACCGTTTTCTCAGTCTCTTTTACTGGATCTTCGTCTTTGTCATCCCCACTAACCATTTCTACAAGACTGTCCTGTGCCCTCTCTCTTTTCTTTCTTGCTTAGTAATCTCATCAGTTCCCACATATTCAATTATGTCTATACTTACGATTCTCCGGTTTATCCAGCCTTCAGTTTTGCATCACCAGCTGCCCATTGGACATTTTGAAGGAGGTGTCCCATAGACATGTTAAACTCAGCATGTTCAAAATGGAATTTATCTTCACTCCCAAACCTTCCTTCTTCTGTTATTTCTGTCAATAGCACCACCATTCTCCCAGTCATTCTGATCCCTCAACTATTACAACAGTCTGCTGGTTAGTCTCCCAGCATCTAGTGTATTCCTACTTTTGTCCACCCTTCACTCTGCTGCTAGAGTGAATTTTTTAAAGAGCAGGTCTGATCATGTCACTCAGTAAATTCCAGTGGCTTTTTATTAGCTGGAGGATGAAATAGAAAACATTTTTTATATATGTATGTATATATACATATGTTTTCAACAACAGTAGATTGGATGATAAACATTACTTTGAAACATTACCTTAACGAAAAACATAGCATATTTATACTCAGTAAAAATACATAAAGCACAGAGGCACCAATACAAAAGTGTAAGAGGTAACAAAATACAGGAGACAAACATTGCTTGTTGCAGAATACAGTCACTGGATTGTGTAGTACAACTGCTGTTGCACTATTATTTCAACTGCAGTTTCAGGGGCAGGAAGGTATTAGCCAGTATTCTCACTTGTTAAATCACAAGCCTGACTTACTATATCCCTTGAATAATGTTATACTACATAAATTGCCTGTTCCAAAAGGCTGTCTGACCTTTTCTCAGAATCAGACAGTTGAGCAAGTTGTGTCTCAACATACCTATGACAGGTCAATTTGTAACTTTCAGACTCAGACCTGACAGAACAATTTAACATTGTTATAATCATGTCCTCCTTCTTGTATAAAATTCTGTGCCATTATAGAAGAAACCCAAATGCCTTATGATAAATTTCAATATCACTATGTATCTCTGAATCCACAATTATGGGAATACATGGTGGGATAACTTTCTTGTAACATCTGCTGTTTCGTAATTGTATGTACTGAAGTTTGTGATGGGCTGTTTTAAAAGATGTTAATATGGAATAAAGTTCATTCAAGGAAAACAGTAGGTAAGCCCTAGTCAATGAACTGTTCCCAAAGCCCTATACTTAATCCCAGGATTTCTTTGCCCATTCTTTCCTTAGAGCCTAAGAGTAGTCCGGATCAGTCCCATTATATCTTGCCTCATGAGGTAAATACATCAATTAAGGTGTGGAATATGTCCTTTGTACCTCAGGCCATAGGTTCCCCTTCCTAAGAACCAGTATTATCTCTAGACAACTCTTAAGTATGTAGTTGTTCTTCTGACTCTAGAAATTTAAAAAGATGCTTGGAGACTATCAGAGTATCTCTCCAACACTAATCATTTATGGCACATGGTTGTGCCATGTTCTTGCTCCCATATTTGGTTTTCATGCACTTTGAAATGCTGCTCATGAGCAAAGGGAATGTGATTGAAACTGCGGAAAGAATAATTTGCTCCAGATTTCCTTTCTATATCCTAACAATATTGAAAGAGCTGTCCTATTTGCAAAACCCAGAATGTGGGAAAGCCTATG